CAGATGCAACTACTTGCATCTGAAGAAGTGAGGTTCTTACCCACGAAAGCTTATGCTCCCAGTACTTCTGTTAGTCTCAAAGGTGCCACAGGACCAAATGAATTTGTGTGGCTGAGTGGGGACACAGGTGACTCTCAGCACCAGAGGAGGTTTATCCTGATAGCCCACAATTCAGTAGGATACGGAACAAAGTCTGATTAATTGTGAGTGGATGGCCTCAAGCCTGCGTTCACAGGGAGCTGGGCAAGATGAGCCAATAGCGTCACCCCCCCTCTGACCTCTCTCTTGTGCATTCAGGGACTGACCTTTGGCTCCTATGGGGGCAGTTGCTGCCTTTCTAGCGTCAGGCCGTGCATTTCCGGATAGGGCTCACGCCACTCCAACTTGCAGAGAGATGGAGGCCAGTTTTCTGGTTTTCTGGTTACTGAGCTATAGCTGCTTCCAGGGGCTGAACTCCAGCGAATTCGTCCTGGGGACAGGGCTGGTAATTCGCGTCTACCCCTCACGCCAGCTTTAGCATTCACCAGACCTGCATCTGCTGTGATCGGTAAAAGAGCCGCCTGCGTTGGCATTACTTCCTGATCGGCAATCTCCGGAAGGAAGCAAGACAGAAAGGGACCCCTGCTGTCCTCAACCCCCTCTTCTGCCTTTGCGGTGATTGGGGCCTGGCTTTCCTCCTTCCCACCCCTCCTCTGACAGCTGCTGGGCTGGGGGAGGCTAGAACGAAAGGATCCTCTGGAACCTCACCCCTGATGCCCGTGGGCAGAAGAGGGACTCCAGCCCCAGCAGCTGTCGCTATTTCAATTGCATTTCAGCAGCAGCGGCCCCTCAGTTCTCAACCTTCCGTTTCCTCCTGATAACGCAGGGCGGATTCATCAGCTAGCAGCTCTTCCCAAAATTAGAAAGAGAGACTCCTGCTCTTTCTGCAATGGAACAACATTTAAGACTCCAAGCAGTCTTATGACAGCTGCAGCCACTCAAAACACAGAGGGGCTATCCCCAAGGTACAGTAAGACACTGAAAATACCTCTTTGCAGGGTTTGTAATTTCCTTACACTTTCCTCACCGTTACTGGGCAGGGAGAGCAGCCAAATGTTTGTTAGATACTTCCTCTCTTTATAGCATGGGCTCTTTATTCATCTTCAGAGATGAGAGTATCAAATAGTGGTGCACATAAAGAACAGGGCTCTTTCCTCTCTGATCCTGAGAAGAAAAGAGCAAAGGCAGAGCAAGGTTCCTGGGGTGAAAGCGCGCACAAACCGTTTGTGCCTGTGTAGAAAGAGGAGAGCTAGGAAGAGTGAAAGACAAACAGGCGCTTGTTCTCAGGCGCACACACGGGTCAGTCAGTACCCTGGCTTCCCACACTCTATGCGAAACTGCTAGGCGTTTCAAGCACCTTACCTCTGTCTTTGTTCCCTGCAGGCGATTACTGTAACCTTCCCTTGTACATGAAATCAGAAGCATTCTTCCGCAAGCCTGACATCCACGATCCTTGTCCAGTGGTCCCGCCCAGGGAAGCCTCCATCCGAAACCTAGCCAGGGCTTATCACACGCAAGCGAGGCATCTGACGCTAGACCCAGGCAGCAAGCCTTTGGGCCTGGCGCACCCGGGCTCCTCCACAACTACTTTACCTCAAAGAACTCTCACCATGCCTGTCTCGGCAAACTCCACTTCTGCTACTTCTGCTGCTGCTTCCGCTCCTGCCGCCGATCCCACTGCTGCCACCAGCGCTGAGCCACGCATGCCCACACACACCAAAATGGGAGGCTCTAGAGACTCTTTACTAGAAATGAGCACATCCGGTATAGGGAGATCTCAAAAACAAGGGGCTGGAGCATACTCCAAATCCTACACACTTGTGTAGGAAATGAGAAAACCAATTAAAAAAAAACTGCTGGTTTCCTGCATTATTTATATTGAAATAAAATAAACTCTTGTACATAATGAACTCTTTTGTATAAATGAAACTATTTTCTTCTTCTCCAGAACTGAAAAAGAAGCCGGGGCACAAAGAATTTGATGTTACAGATTTAAAAAATATATATATGTGATCTTATATATATTTCACATCTATTTGAAAGGGGCACAAAGAGACTCAGCGATTTTTTCCCTGATATTATTGGTGGTTTTGAAAAGCAAATTCTTAAAGACATTGCATGCTGTTTACTGTTCTGAAAACAACAGGAGTTGCTTTGATTTGCAAATGCTTATGTGTTAATACCTTTTTCTATGAAAAAACCCAGCGCCGTGTGCAATAAAAGTTATGTTTATAGGTTGGAGTTTTCCACTTGATTCAAGCCTCAGGATTGCACTAGAAGTGGACTGGGTTGGGAGAAGAGCTCAAAATTGCTGAGAGAAGGGTTTAGTGCTCTTGGCACTTTGCACATCTGCCTAAAAACCATGGCTGTACCATTTTAGCCAGGACACGAAGCCTGCAGGGAGGCATGGAATGGAGAGACACAAGCCAATCCATGACAGATCAGCAGGAGCCTCTTCCCCATCCCGTGCTGTCCAGAGGGCAAGTGTCAGGCCACCTGGGGGCACCAGAAACTGCGAGGGCATATGCTTTCTTGCCCACCTTTTGTCTTGCTTCTCAGTAGTAGCTGTGAGCCTGCAGCAGGGAACGGAGCCGGCACATCACCTGTCTGCAGACATAGTGCCCCACTGGCTCAGAGTCACTGAGTTTGCCCAGCTGAGGAAGAAACCAGTGGCACTACAGTGAGGTGCAAGGACACTGCCAGATATGTACGAGGCTTGGCAGCCTGGCTATGGTCCAAGTCCCAAAAAGGCACATGTCAGGGCAGCATCCTATGACTTCAAGAGGACTCCCTGTAGGAATGGGTCTGAACTGGGTACAGGCAAACCTCAAAGATACGAACACCAGAGTTACAGACTTACCGGTCAACCAGACACCCTCTGGGACTGGAAGTAATCAGGCAACAGCAGAGAGAGAGACACACACAAAGCAAATACTTCACTGCCTTGAGACTTCAGCCCCCCCAGGGGTGCCAAGACATGGGGTGTGCCAGTTTCAGACCCAGCACTCCCTCCATAGCCAAAGCCCCGAAGCCCAGTGCTCCCCACCCCCAGCTGAAACCAGGAGTGGAGCTGTGGGGAGCCCCAAGCCCCCCACAGAGCAGAAGCCCCAAGCCCCAGTGTCCCCCCAGGTCTAAAGCCCTGAGCCATGGTGCTTCCAAGGCTCAGAAGCCCTGACACTCTAAGAGGCTGAAGTCCATAACCCCTTGTTCAGAGTTATGGACAAGTTCCATTTCTGAGGTTCTGCTGTAGTTCTCATTTGACACCAGAGGAGGTGCGGAGTGTGAAGTCTGGGGGGGAAAATGGAGGCTGCTGCAGGCGCTCCAACAGACCCAGCAGGCAGAGCATCAAGCCCCACGGGGATGGCAGGCATTTGGAGAGTTCCTGGAGGAGCACACCCCCGTACAACAGCAGTTATTACAGACTCTGATAAGTCCCACCCTGGGGAAGGGAAGTCGAGGGGGGGCTGGGCCCAGGGAGGATCCCATTGCCTTTGTACTGACTTTCAAAAGAACTGCTGCGGGTGTGGGCTGGGGTAGAGAATTGTGGGCATATG